CACTACTCATCTCTTTTAAAAGCGTTCTTCTGATTGGTCGGTTTTGTAATACCGGATGCCCATTGGTTCAAGCAATCGGGTGATATAAAGATAAAGAGAGGTGAAAATGAAATGAAATGAGAAGCTCAGTTCGCCACTAAAATCTCTCGTCACCCAATGAAAAGAGAATAGTATCGCACTGGTGCCCGTTTACTGTCTAAAAAAGCGAAACAATTGGTTATTAAGCAGAAACCACAGTTTTTAAATATGTTCACGCCTTTTATTAGGTGTAGCAGCAACATTTTGTTTTTGAGGCTTAGCATCAACGTTTTGTTTTTGCTGTGCTTTGCGACCATTTCTGTTTAACTTGAAACATTGTTTCCACTGTTAGTGTTACTATGATTGTTACAACTGTGAAACATGCATATTGCTGTTGAAATCAAACTAATAGTTTTCGAATGTAACAATACATTCTTCTTGACACCCTCTCAAAGTGAACTTGACACAGAGATCCCAGTAGTTTATTGGGAGTAAGAGTGCCAACTTCGCACAATCTATATTAATAATCCCAAAAAGTGCAGGGTTTTACAAGACGTGTGTGTGTGTCTGTTTGTAATTTACGAACGGTTTAATCAAGAGATATGGGACAGGTTTTTTCGGTATAGTGCCGGCAAACTCTGACGAAGCCAAATGATTAAAGTTTTCTTTTTATCGGCCGGTGGTAAGTGGCTTAATTGATGGTTTTGTACCCCAAATGTGATACTAAAGTGTCTCACTAATTCTACGTCTCTCTCATACTCTCAATTATTTAATGTGCTAATGAGTGAGGCAGGGAAGGTGCAAACCTAAATTAAGCCGTTTTCAGAATAGTTCTCTTCCTTAGACCACCGGTCTTGTTAAAGCATTAAGATAACCAGAAATATTATATTAGAGTGATGAAATGTCTTATTCTGCGATAAATCCATTAATTTGTATGAACTCAATACTTTCTTTTTTATCATATTTATCATTAAACTATGTCAGTATTATAGTAACACCAAGAGTTTAGACAGTTATTTAACACCAAATTTTCACTGTATTTTCAGACCCGTCCCTATTATTTGGAATGCAAATTATAAAAATCACAAAAATGCAACAATATAGCTGTTTTAATATTTTCTATTGCAACAATACGGCACTGAAGTTTAGAACCAAACCACCATAGACCGTGCTTTAATGTACCAGGCACCAGAGCACCTTGTGTTATCCTTTTAATCGCTGCTAAGCAATTGCTAATCGGTATTCATGAATACCAAACTTTTCCAAGTATTTACGAATACGACACTATGCGAGAAGGCACCATTTAGTTGCGGCGGTTGTGGTATCGCTTAATTTGCCGAATAATTTCTGCATTTTTATATGCAATTTTGCCATAAAAAAGAGAAGTTGAGGGTTGCCTCAATTCGAAATTTTTGCTACCGTCAAATAGTGCTTCTCATTCATCTTGTCAAAATTTGATTGCATCAATTCTGTTTTAAACATGCATGATTGGTGTATGAAATTCGAAATTTCGTACGCGTCACTCCTTCTAAAATCTCCGTCCTCATTGAAAGTTGTGAGTCGTGACTGCCCTTTAAATATCCAATGGGTTACAAGACTGACCCCGTTTTATCTGATTTTAAATGTGATGAGTTTAAATTTCATCTTATTTCTTATTAAAAATCCATATAAAATATTAGTCTTGTATTGTTTTCTTGAAATTTTTTGTTTTCTTGAGTCTCGCAAGATCTTTGATACCTTGAAATTCGTATCATTCTCAGAACTGATTATGGATCGTAATAAAATGGCATTTTATTTGGTTTAATCATTGAAAAAACTTCTAAGTCCAGATCTGTTTCGGATACACACTACACAGTAACCAGATCACTATGAATTTGCGGTTACCTAAAAGTAGCAGCCCTCCACCTCTCTTTCTCCAATATCCTCAACGTCCACTCTTAATATAGGCAGTGCTATTTGGAGGAACGTCTCCATCATTTACTCCAAATTTAACCATTTAATTCAAATGATTTTCATATGATCACCTCTTGTGCTCTGTGACAGTGATATTCCCTGCTATTGCTATGTCAGGTAGACTTGGCGAACTTTTATTTAGGTATTCTGCTTTTCTAGAATTCCAAGAAACCCTATTCGTTCAGCTGCATATAAACTTAAATATCTGCTAATTATTTCAGCTCGATTGACGTGTTCAAAAGTTCAAATGTATGCTTTTCGTTAGTGTAAACAATTAAACGTTGGTGCCTCATTCAGAAAAAATGATTTTTATTGCGTCCTTACTGACGTATAATTTGATAAAACGGACGATTTTATAATTTGACATATTTTCAGTTGCATTCCCTTTTTTCTGCGATAAAGCTCTGTTTTTAAAGCAAATTGAGCTGAGTAAGGATAATCATAATATGCATTATACAATATACATCACTATTATTTGAGTATTTCTATTCAATACTCAAGTCATCAATACCGAGTCGCTGTATACGGATATCGTGCAACTTGATTTACTGAGACGACATCCTTTTCCGAAAACTTTGCGAGACATGTTGTGTTCTCGAAAGAATTTTTAAAGAAAATTAGAATTTAATCGATAATTTCGAATTTCTAGCTGGATGGCTTCATGTTACGGAAAAGAGTGCAAGCATTATTAATTATTTATGCCTTATGTTTAATAATAGCTACTTATTTCAGAATAAATTATGTCCTGTTTCATTGTCTTTCAAATGCCGACGTCGACACCAAACGATTTTTTTCGCACAATTATTTAATGTTTATATCCACGCTCGCAAACGTTTGTCTGATTCAGTGTCAGGCCAGAATTGGATAATGGGTTTACCGTTTGTGAGAGGTGTGGTTTTACCTTCCCACAGTTAAGAATTTTCAGTTTGAACTGACGAAATCCTAATTCTGTAAGTACTAACAGACACTTATTTTATGGTACACTTTTAGTTTATTGTTTGCAATACCGTTAGTTTGATTTCAACCAAGATTTGAACAACTAAACAATTTAATAGCAGTTTGGAAATGATAGATACTTTTCATTTTTCAGATATTTATTTCTAGATATCACATTATTAAGATCATATAAGAATTCAGGGGTATAGTTACGCTGATTATTAATGATCGAAACCATTCATTCTTAACGTACTTTCAATAACGTTTCATAATCAAACAGAACCTCTAGTCATTACACTATTATAATTTATTTTTGGAATTGGTGACGGATTTCAATCTAATTTGCTTACTTAAACCGTTCAATTGGTCGCTGTCTGCGTATAGATTTTTCGGGTATAAATTCAGGTTTGAATTCTATATCAACATCGTAAGAATTCAATAATAAGTTTGCTGGTTATTAAAAAGATTTATTTACAACTTTGAACCTCGTTCCATTTACAACTAGAACCTCAAGTCTTAGATACTGTTATGGCACTACCGTGATAGTACCTCAGCAGTGTAACAGTGGTGACGTCATGGTACCTCAGCAGTGTAACAGTGGTGACGTCACAGTACCTCAGCAGTGTAACAGTGGTGACGTCACGGTACCTCAGCAGTGTAACAGTGGTGACGTCACAGTACCTCAGCAGTGTAACAGTGGTTTTTTTTTGGGGACCGGCCCGAAGTACCAGCCAATGTTTACTCAAAAAATAATATATATATAATAAGTGTTATCAATTCAAACTCAAAACTCACACAAGATTAGATCTCATTAAAACGATTAGAATGTATATAATGGAGCTTGTCGAACAAAAAATAGCTGAGCACATATAAAGTTGCCTTTAGTTGAAATTATCATATTAATGCGCTTTTAGAGTTGTTAGAGTGGAAACAGGCGCATAGCTACGGCTAGCTAGCTATTCCAAAATTTTTAAAATTTAACGACTGTTATCAGTCGCATAGCGTCATGCCGTTTTTGCTGGCGAATTGATGGCAGTGTAACTGAGATGGTATGCAGTGAAATTGATTCTGTGATGGCGTGCTTATGAGACAGAGTTATTATTAGTATTACGGTTGATGTTGCGCTCTGATTTCCTTAGTCTCGTTATATTGTATAACATAAAGTTAGGCCATTCGTCTGCAATGCCCTCGTTTTGTTGATCAATGAGCATGTTTTTTATGCACCTTTTGTAGATGTTAAGGTTGAATAGACTTGGCAAGGAAGTTGCTGCGACACTATATCTGTTTATTGCTAATAGTGGACCTTTGTAGAATACTGAATTATTGTAAGGGACGTCACGGTACCTCAGCAGTGTAACAGTGGTGACGTCACGGTACCTCAGCAGTGTAACAGTGGTGACGTCACAGTACCTCAGCAGTGTAACAGTGGTGACGTCACGGTACCTCAGCAGTGTAACAGTTGTGACGTCACGGTACCTCAGCATTGTCACAGTGGTGACGTCACGGTACCTCAGCAGTGTCACATAAGTGTCACTGCACTACTCATCTTCCTATCTCATACATATCATGCATTAGAAAGTGCCTGAGTTCTGAGTCCTGACCTACATTCCGTTATTCTACAAGGAGTTCGCAGATCAGCTGATCAGGAGAACAGTTTGTTGAGTAGCAGTATAACAGAGGTAATAGCGTACCAGGTGTGGTATCACTGGTACCTTTACATGTGATATTAATGTGCTCATATCTTATCATGTATGATCTCTGTTCGTTACTGTTTATACTGATAATTCATAAGTCAGAACTGACAGCTATTACAAATACAAGCTTATTTGATACACGTTTAATTGTATTTTCTTGTGATTTTCCTCGATGCAGACGGTGAGGATGTGTGATGTGTGCCACTTGCTTATAATACTCCTGGTTCTACAGACTCAGCTACTGGTGAGCTATCTTAATCTTAAATTACAATAAATTGTACTGTGGTTCGTTTTTATTACCTATAGCTACAGGTTTCTTATACCAGATTAAACTTTTGAGGGTTAAAAAAGTTGACTTTTTGTGCACTTAACTTCTGCTGCCTAGTTAGATTATAAAACATGCGAATCAACTCAAAATACGCTATGAAAAAACGACTTTACTACACAGCAGTTTCTTCGTATACATTGTGTTCCAATATCTACAAGAAAATAAAAATATTTTCCCTAAACAATATAATCCTCCGCCAGGAACAGGTTGACTGTGATGCAGTAGCAAAAGTGCAGTTTGTAAGATATTTGAACAAACACTGCAATGACCAACATGGATCAAGTAAATGCGAATTAACGTTTGAACTTTTGACAATTGTAGACAATAACGGCAACACCCTCCACAAAATAACAAAAGCACAAGTCAAAACAGATGTTCCCATTTCCACGTCAAGCAGCACAAGTGATAGCATCAAAGAAACCATACAGATAACAGTTCCGACAGGAAGTGATATCTTCATATCGGCAACTGTTAATCACAAGACTGATGGTTACGTAGATAGTGTGTCGGGGAAGAGTGCCCCTTTTCTGAAAGACGAAGAGTATGACTCTGATAATTGGAGGCAACAAAGCCTCTCCTACGGAAGTACCCAACAGTTGACTTTTAATTATCAAATTGTTAAGTGTAGCGATCATTTTACCGGAGTGAAATGTGACAGATGTGAAACAGAGAGCTGTAAAGCAGAGTGTGCTCCTGTTGAAGGTAATTACACTTGTAACCCAGTTACAGGAGAGAAGATCTGCAAACCGGGGAAGATAGGAGTAAACTGTGACCAGTGTGAGGATGGAAATAAAGTTGGCGAAGAATGTGACACCTGCAAGGCTGGTTTCACAGGAGAAGAGTGTGACAGATGTGCCTCAAATCATTATCCAAAGGGAATCTGCACTGTTATCTGCAAACCAGAAGAAAATAAATACAAGTGTCTGGACTCAGGGACTAAAGAGTGTCTAGGACACAGAACTGGTGATGAATGTGAAGAATGTACGTTGAACTACTATGGAGGGGACTGTGAGAACTTCTGTAAGAATTCTACCAGCTTCACATGTGATCAGACAGGAAGTAAGAACTGCCGAACCAACTACTTCAACCCTGAAGAAGAGTGTGAAACACACTGTGACCCTACACAAGGTAGCTACACTTGTAACCCAGCCACAGGTGAACAGATCTGTGAACCAGGAAAGACAGGTGACAACTGTGAGCAATGTGAGAATAACAATAAAATAGGAAGAGACTGTGACACTTGTAAGACTGGTTACACGGGAGAAGAGTGTGATAGATGTGTAAGGAATTACTATCCAGAGGGAACATGCACCAAACATTGTGAACCTGAGGGAGGAAAATACACTTGTACAGAATATGGAGACAAAAAGTGTGTAGAAAACAGAATTGGTGAAAAATGTGGTAGTTGTAAACCTGAGTACTATGGAAATGATTGCAAGACTCTTTGTGAACATACTGAATACTACAAATGTGATGAGGAAGGGAACAAGGTCTGTGAAGAGGGTTATTATCCTGACAAGGATTGCAGTACATTTTGTGAGGGGCTAGAAGGAAACTATACATGTAATACAGTAACAGGAGAGAAGGTCTGTGAAGAAGGAAAGACAGGTTTTAACTGTGACCAGTGTGACAATGGGAAACTTGGACACAACTGTGACAAATGCGAGCAGCACTACTTCGGAGAGGAATGCCAAATATTCTGTAAGTCACAAGAGCACTATCGCTGCTCCCTTGAAGGTGAAAAACTCTGCGAAGAGCATTACTTTGGAGGTCAATGCCAGACATTCTGCAAGCCAAATGAGCTGTACAGCTGTTCCTATGAAGGTTATAAAGTTTGCTTTGATAACACAACCAGCGTGGCACACAACTGTAGGACGCTAGAGGCTGAGAAGGTAGACGTGGTCATGGTGGCAGGTATGGGAGGCGTTGGAGGCGGCGTCTTGATGATCTTACTTGTGACAGTCATTGTTCTGGGAAAAAGGAGGCAGAAGGAGAACACCGGGGGAGTGAAGGCAGAAGAGGGGATAGCAATGCAGAATATTGAGGGTGGGTACCAGATGTGTGATATTAATTTGAAGAGTGAGAAACATGCTGGTTGTTCGGAGATAAGCAACGAACATGCTCATTGTTCGGAGATAAGCAACAAACATGCTCATTGTTCGGAGATAAGCAACGAACATGCTCATTGTTCGGAGATAAGCAACGAACATGCTCATTGTTCGGAGATAAACAACGAACATGATCATTGTTCGGAGATAAGTAACGAACATGCTCATTGTTCGGAGATAAGCAACGAACATGCGTACGCAACTACGGAGGAAATGAAGAGGCAATCTTACCCATCAAAGTGTAAAGAAGAGATCTACACCAAGCTTAACACAGGAAGAAAGCAAACTTCGAAAGTTCAAGTTCTTCAAGATCAACAAGATAACGCCTACTCCATGATTGAAATTAAGCAGGTTTACGAAGAGGTTCATTCACATGTTTATGATCGTCTAGACAAATTTGGAAAAAGCTAGAAACTCTTATCATGTGACAATAATACCAACGGCAACTGCGAGATTATGCGGTTGTACGTTTCCGAAATACCGATTAAAACTGAGAAACTAATCTGTAATTCACAATAAGAAGAATAATATTGGATGGAGACCAGAAGATCGAATTGAGTAGAGACACTCAGAGAAGTTTGAAACATGAGTGATAATAATATACGATATTATTTATATTTTAATACTTTGCAGACACTTATACAGTATACAGCAGGCCATGGTCACATCAGAACAGGAGAATGTCAAATCTTGATGTTCATTTTTTAATTGGCTTTTCTGGAGTTTAAGAAAAGACTTTCATATTAATGCTTTAACTTCTGTAACAGAATGCATATTTCCAGTTTATATTTTATGAGTTTTTGTTTATGTTAATTTAATAACTTGATACATATTTTCCGGATTATATTTCATGCGTTTTTGTTTATTGGGTAACATGGTAATCTGTCGAAGCACAAGTCATGAAGAATATGTGCTACAATTTGAAACATTTAGGCACACAGCTTGTTTGCCTTATTATCAATGTACTATTTCGATCACTGGATTTTTAGATTGCTCTGGTTCCAATTATAACCCGATTCCCCGCAAATGTGCTTTCTCCAAATGTAGCCCAGATCTTCCCGATTCTGTAGTCTGTACCTTAAAGTGCCCAGCACCTATGCTGCGATAGATTACTTAGTGGCATTTACGTGTATATTATTGGTGATTGATAATACTCCATTGATTTTATCGGTGTTGTCATAGTAATGGCATCTCTTACCTTAACTATAATTCGCTTCGTTATTCTTGTTATCTATAGAATCCAAAATTGCACAATATCTTACGGCTTACAGATACTAAAAAGCAAGTTCAAAATATATAACATTAATCACTTCCGAATAAAAGTATTGTGCCCTCTTGAAAAGTCTACTGAGTAGCACCTCATGTCCTTCCGGAGCTCTCCTGGCATAGAAGCATAGGGGCATGGATAGTGTATTCTCTCGGTGAAATAAAAAAACGTAAATTTTATCATAATGTGCCGAGGACGCCCTTTGCGAATATAAATACGCTATGAGTAAGTAAGTCCCAGCAACGAAAAATCAGTTACTCATTATCAATTTCTGGTTTCGGTATCTGCTGTTGCCCTGATAATGTGATGGCCAAATCATCAGTAATTCTCTACCTGATCCTTCAACTGCTGTTATTGGTAAGCTGCGTTACTATATTTGATAAACACTTTTTCACTACTTATACTCAGCAATGTGTTTAATTACATGTCAGATATTTAATAGGTGAAGTTGTATTGACTTTCCCATTCAAAACCTCAAGTCCTTATCTATGATGCTAGTACAATGGAGATACTGCAATATTAAGGCATCTTGGCTTGTGGTAAGACACTGAATAAAATTATTCATTAAAAATGATTCTTAAAGCTTTATTGTAGAAAACATATTTGATAAGTATCTAGCCTAATCCTCAATTACATGATACCTTAAACGGTGCAAAACATATAAAAGATTGTTCACCACCAGGGACAAGTAGAGTCTGACGGACAAGGTGAGATACAAGTTACAAAGTATGTGGAGCCCAAGTGCAGTAGTGAGTGTTATCGGTGGTTCAGACCTCTGACGATTATTGATGAAGATGGTACCATCCTTAAACGTCTATTCAGTCTCAAATTCGAATCCTCAAATAAACCCATAGCAGATCAAAGCAGTGCAACAAGCGCAGTGCTCAAATCTCCTATCACAATAACAGTTCCAACTGATAAGGATATTTATATATCTGCAACTATAGAAGGTGGTGGTGGTAACGTTGTGGGGGGCTTCCAGAATGTAAGAGTTCCTTTTACAGAGATATCCCTGTCAAACGAGTGGACCCAGAAAACAAAGTCAATTACAATTACACAAGGTAGGAAAGCCCAACTGACCCTGAACTATCGATTAGTTAGATGCAGTGATCATTTTACCGGAGATAAATGTGACCGATGTGAGGAGAGCTACCATACGGACAGATGTGACGTAGAATGTGTACCTGATGAAGGTAGTTACACTTGTGACGAAGACACCGGACTGAAGAACTGTGAGACAGGAAAGATAGGAGATGAATGTAAAACATGTGCCCAGAATTACTATCCAGAGGGAAAATGCACTGTTGTTTGTGAACCTGGGGGAAAGAAATACAAGTGTCTAGAATCAGGGGCTAAAGAGTGTCTAGGAAACAGAGCTGGTGATGAATGTGAAGAATGTAAGACTGGTTTCACAGGAGAAGAGTGTGACAGATGTGCCCAGAATTATTATCCAGAGGGAATCTGCACTGTTATCTGTGAACCAGAAGAAGAAAAATACACGTGTCTGGACTCAGGGACTAAAGAGTGTCTAGGACACAGAACTGGTGATGAATGTGAAGAATGTACGCTGAACTACTATGGAGGGGACTGTGAGAAATTCTGTGAGAATTCTTCCACTTATACTTGCGATCAGGCAGGAAGCAAGAATTGCCGAACCAACTACTTCAATCCTGAAGAAGAATGTGAAACATACTGTGACCCTACACAAGGTAGCTACACTTGTAACCCAGCTACAGGTGAACAGATCTGTGAACCAGGAAAGACAGGTGACAACTGTGAGCAATGTGAGAATTATAACAAGATAGAGCCGGACTGTGAAGAATGTAAGCAACACTTCTTTGGTGAAGAGTGTACAAAGAACTGTGAGGCTGCTACTGGATACACATGTAATACGGTTGGAGACAGGGTCTGTGAAGAGGGTTATTATCCTGAAAATGTGTGCAGCACATTTTGTGAAGAAGTTAAAGGTAACTCCACATGTGATGAGGAAGGGAACAAGGTCTGTTAGGAGAACCATTATCCTGACAAGGATTGCAGTACATTTTGTGAGGGGCTAAAAGGAAACTATACATGTAATACAGTAACAGGAGAGAAGATCTGTGAAGAAGGAAAGACAGGTGTTAACTGTGACCAGTGTGAGAATGGGAAGCTTGGACACGACTGTGACAAATGCGAGCAGCACTACTTCGGAGAGGAATGCCAAATATTCTGTAAGCCACAAGAGCACTATCGCTGCTCCCTTGAAGGTGATATGATCTGCATTGACAACACTGCTAGCCTGGTAAACAGCTGTAGACATGTGGACTCCAGAACGGATATAATAGTGATAGGTGGAGCTGGTGGTGGACTGCTGCTGATAGTGTTGATTATTGTTATCATAGTGAGATGTAAACGAGGAAGAAACAAGGATATCACAGAGGAGATAGGCGGAGAAGAAGGGATTGATCCAACACAAGACAACCAGGAACAAGAAGCTCTCTACTCCAGAATTAACCAGCAACAAATTGAGCTTCGGACAGAAGAGGACCAGGATGTTTACAGTCGCCTGAACAACAAAGATACACCACACAACAAGCAAAAGAAGGATAACCGATCTGACAGAAGACAGGGGGAAATTGATCAGGATCCGATTTACTCAACAGTTGATAAACAGAAAGAAGATAAGGCTTCTCAGATGTATGCTCAAGTGGAGCGACCAGGCAGATCCAATGAACCACAACATCTCCAATCACGGACAAGTGCTGATGATGGAGATACATACGCTGACGTGACCTTCGTGACAAACAGGAGAGGACAAGAAGCAGCAGTATACAGGAACCAGAGAGTAAACAACGTGGAGAACAGAAGGGAGGTAACCTATGCTACTGTTAGTGAGATTATCGAGCAGCAGCTTTGAACTGATCATAATAATTTTAGACTCAACCGTTTTAACGGTATCGCTTTAACTTTATTTTGATAACCGTGTATAATAAGTATAAAGTAAAAAAGTTTTTCAGTGATTAAATTTTGTTAACGATAATTTTTATTATGGCGTGCAAATTATATAATTAATTTTGCGACGTGTTTTAGATATCGGAATTTCATGACTATACAATTTGAAAAATTTACATTTCTATTTTTATCATCATTTCACCATACCATCATTGTTCTAAGATACTTTTTATAAAATTGCATTGATTATTTGCGATGGTTTTGTTTTGCTAAATGTTCATTGATTATCCCTCCTACAATTAAAATATTATACATTGTCAACATTGATGAATTATTGATCCCAAACGGATTTTCTGCATGACTTTTACAATCGTTGTTAAATGCTTATTTGTTTGTTAATAATCATTACTTAGATCTTTTAAGACTTAATTTGTTTACATTCTCAAATTCTAAAATTCAGATCTTTTGATGAAAACAGCAACATTCCACACTAGCAATACTTTGTAAGACAACATGGTAGGCTACCACCACTACAATGACTTGCGGAGAGCGTTTACAATAAGTCTAGTGAGTACCTAAGTACTGAGTAGTAACA